CCCCATCCCATCCCCCACCCCCAGTGACCTCACACTGCTGCAGGTACCACCCCCATCCCATCCCCCACCCCCAGTGACCTCACACTGCTGCAGGTACCACCCCATCCCATCTCCCCACCTCCAGTGGCCCCGGAGTTTGGGGTTTTCCTGGGGATGGTTTTGCTGGGGACAGTTTTGCTGGGCACGGTGTATGTCTTTTTACCCGCGAGTAATTCATATTCATCCACCTCACTGCTGTGTCCCAGCTGGCTTACCCCCCGAACGCGAGTGACTATGTGAAAACCCTCGCTGGACCCTCGGTCGGTGTGCAGCGTGGCTGGGTGGGGCTTAACTGTCCCAGGGGATGTGAGATCTGCAGCCAGCGCACTGCGGGAGGTCGATGTGGATGTGCTGGACGACGGGAATTGCATGTACCACAGTTACAACCCCATCACAATGCTGTGTGCCGGGGACCGATGGCAGCGCAAAGACTCTGCCGGGGTAAGTCGGCCCCCACCTTTAAGCTCCTTGGGGAAATCCCTGGGGTTCATGTGTGTCCCCCTAACCGTACTGGTGAGCTGAGAGAACTTGGTGGGGAGGAGGAGAGCGGGGCGAGCAAAGACTGGAGATCAGTGTTTCTGAAACTGGCAGTCAGAGGAGAGCAATAGAGTTCACAATGGCTGCCCTTAAAGGGGCAGGCAACTTTTTTTTTTTTTGTTCCTCATTAAAAAAAATATTGTTTGGTGTTCCTTGGTGTTAAATCCTGGAGGGGAATCTCAAGGAATACGGTGTATGTCTTTTTACCCATGAGTGCAACTCTGATATTCATCTCCCTGACTGTCCCAGCTGGCTCACCCCCCGAAGGCGAGTTAGCTTCTCTGACGATGTGACTGGCTCTGTGGACATGGGGAAAAGAGGAGACTCAAGATCTATACAGTCATGAGTGGGATGGAGACAGTGAATTAAGGAGAAGTTATTTGCTTGTTCCCATAATATAAGAACTAGGGGCCACCCAATGAAAACTATGTGAAAGCCCTCGCCCTGCCTCACTCTGCCGAGAGGGTGCACCCTGGGTCGGTGTGCAGTGTGGCTGGGTGGGGCTTCACTGTCCCAGGGGACGAGAGATCTGTTGTAACACACTATTTCTGTGTTTGGGGAATATTTAGTAGAAGTTTAGTGACATGAACATGTTTAAGACACGCTTGCCTAAAAACATTCTCCGCTAAGGGGAATTGACATGTATTTCCTCCTTGGGGAAACCCCTGTGGTTCATGTGTGTGTCCCTAACCGTACTGGTGAGCTGAGAGAACGTGGTGGGGCGGGGGAGAGCGGGAGCGAGCAAAGACTGGAGATCAGTGTTTCTGAAACTGGCCGTCAGAGGTGTGCCCTGGAGAGCAATAGAGTTCAAATTGGCCACCCTTAAAGGGGCAGGCAACTTTTTTTTTTTTTTGTTCCTCATTAAAAAAAATATTGTTTGGTGTTCCTTGGTGTTAAATCCTGGAGGGGAATCTCAAGGAATCCATTCTGAAGCCGTTGGAAGAGGGGAAAGTAATCAGGAAGAGTCAACATGGATTCACCAAGGGGAAGTCCTGCCTGACCAACCTGGTTAGCTTCTCTGACGATGTGACTGGCTCTGTGGACATGGGGAAAAGAGGAGACTCAAGATCTATACAGTCATGACTGGGGACGTGCCTGGCTCTGTGGACATGGGGAAAAGAGGAGACTCAAGATCTATACAGTCATGACTGGGATGGAGATAACTTCTCCTTAATTCACTATTTGCTTGTTCCCATAATATAAGAACTAGGGGCCACCCAATGAAATGAATAGGCAGCACGTTTAAAGCAAACAAAAGGAAGTTTTTCTTCACGCAGCACACAGTTAACTTGTGGAACTCCTTGCCAGAGGATGTTGTGAAGAACAGGACTTTAACAGGGTTCAGAAAAGAGCTAGATAAATTCAAGGAGGTTAGGTCCATCAATGGCTATTAGCCAGGCTGGGTAAGGAATGGGGTCCCCAGCCTCTGTCTGTCAGAGGGTGGAGATGGATGGCAGGAGAGAGATCGCTTGAGCATTACCTGTTCAGTTCACTCCCTCTGGGGCGTCTGGCATTGGCACAAGACACTGGACTAGATGGGCCTTTGGTTTGACCCCTTCTGGCCGCCCTTATGTTGTTCTTAGGAAGGCGGTGGGTGTGACTGACCTCGACTTTAGCAACGCTTTTGAGAAGGGCTCCCACAGTGTCCTTGCGAGCAAGATCTAAAAATCTGGATGGGATAAATGGACTGTCAGGTTAATAGAAAGCTGGCTCGACTGTCAGGCCCAATGGGTATTGGTCAATGGCTCGATGTCGGGTTGGCAGTTGGTTTCTCGCGGAGCGCCCCAAGGATCGGTTCTAGCACCAGTTTTGTTCAACATGTTTATGAATGACCTGGAGGAGGGGAGGGGTTGCGTCCTCAGCAAGTTTACGGGTAACACTAAGCTGGGGGAGAAGTAGAGACGCTGGACGAAAAACATGTTTATGAATGACCTGGAGGAGGGGAGGGGTTGCGTCCTCAGCAAGTTTACGGGTAACACTAAGCTGGGGGGAGAAGTAGAGACGCTGGAGGGAAGGGAGAGGGTCCTGGGTGATCTAGAGAAATTAGAGGATGGGGCCAAAAAAAATCTGACGAATTTCAACAAGGACCAGTGCAGAGTCCTGCCCTTGGACCGGAAGAATCCCAAACATTGCTACAGGCTGGGGACCGACGGGCTAAGCAGCCGTTCTGCAGAAAAGGCCCTGGGGGTTCGGTGGACGAGAAGCTGGAGATGAGCCAACAGGGCGCCCTTGTAGCCAAGCAGGCTATGAGCATATTGGGGGGCATTAGGAGGAGCATGGCCAGCAGATCTAGGGGAGAGATTATTCCCCTTTCTTCGGCTCTGGGGAGGCCTCATCTGGAGAAATGCGTCAGCGAGAAATGATTCCTTGGCCTGTTCTGCATCCGTGGCCTGTTTTGTTCTGCAGGGCGACTCCGGCGGCCCCCTGGTGTGCGGGGGTAAGGCCCAGGGCATCGTCTCCTGGGGGTTCGACGCCCCTCCAGGCGTGTACACAAGAGTCTCCTCTTACACCCATTGGATCCACGACATCCTGAGGAGATGGAAGCCCTGAGCCACACCAGGGATCACCGCGCAGACCAGAGCTTCTGTCCTGCGGAGAGGCCCAGGGCCTGCTTTGCCGAGGGGCTCAGCCCCCCCACATCCCAGCTGGAGGATCTGCCTCCCCCCAGCCATTAATCTGCTCAGGTAGCACCCGGCTCGAGGCCAGCTCTTGCTAGGGAACAGCTGGGCCGTGTGAGTTAGGAGCCAAACCCTGACGCGGACCTGGCGGGTTGTTGCTCTCCGTGGTGTGAGCCGGGCGAGTGTCGGAGATTGGCCCCGTAACGTCCACCTGCATGTCCCCCCTGGAACCGCCCCCGGCCCTGCCCTCTCTGGGCCTTCCCCACATGCTGGCCCCCTGAAGCATCCACCCCCGCTCCAAACACGCCCGGTCTCGAGGCAGCCAGGTCGGCGGGAAGGAACTCCAGGCCGTTTGTGCTGATCGACTGCTGATAAAACATCGGCCCCGATCCTCCCCTGCCCGGCTGCGTTCGGCTCAGCTCCCCTCCCCTGCTGTCTGCCCCACCGCCAGCCAGTAATAAAGTCAGGTTACTAAAGATTCGGGTCCTGACGCATCCACCCTGAGCTTTGCCGTACGGAGCAGCTGCTGGACCTGCCCAGGCCAGGAGGGGATGGACCTTACAGGGGAGGCCGGGCTGGCAGTGAATGATCTAAGTTGGGACCGAGGTGTGACGAAGTGGGGGAGTTCTGGAGGGGTCTGAAGGGGTTGCATGCGGGGGGGCACTCAGTGTCCCTGGGGGTTCCAGCCAGCGGGGAAGAAAGGGAGAGTCAGACAGAGGGGCCAGGTGACCCCAGAATGGCCATGGGGGGGCTGCGAGTGGGAGGCTGGGCTGGAAAGCGGGGGTACAAGACGGGGCAGGGGGCAGGCGGACCCCACCGGGCTACAGAGGAGACTCACACGGGCTGTGCCCTGAACCCCAGCCAGAGCGAAGAAGGGGGAGCAGACTCCCCAAATGAGCCCCCCTGTTTCCCAACAACACAAGAGGCCCACACGCAGCAGCCCCGGACCGGACGAGGGATCCCGACCTCGGAGAGGTCAGTGAGCAAATTCTCACACGTCCTAATGTAGCATCCGGCTGGACAGCGCTGGCCACAGACCGTTCCCAGGGGAGCTGGGGGGTCGCCCCACACACGGTGCGATTTGGCACGAGTTCCTCTCCCAGAGAGGGCAGCTCTTTAGATTTCCCCTCCGGCACCTTGGGGGAGGATGGGGGAGTCCAGACTGGGGGAGAACAGAGGGAAGGGATTCAGGCCAAGAGATCCCACAGAGAAAGTGAGTGGGGTGGGGCTGTGGGTACCTGTCTGTGGGGTGGGGACATCGGTCACCAGCCTGGCCAGAGAGACGATGAGGCTTTTCATATGAATCTGGTGTCCTCCAAGGTACCGCCCCCATCCCATCCCCCACCCCCAGTGACCTCACACCTGGGGGTTTGCTCTCCTTTGTAATTAAGTCCTGCCCGTTGTGGGGTTCCCCCTCCCCATGCGGATATTAATTTGTGACTTTTCCAGCTAGTCATTATACTTGCAAGAGGAATATTGTGGTGATACTAAAAGTTCTTTCTCTTTTCTTTTTATTATCCTGGTTTTGGTTAATTTTTGTGTCCTGGTTTGTACTTTAAGGGTGCAATTTCCCAAGTGATCTCTTCCCTGATTTTTCTTATCATTACTTTGGAGGCAGCAGTGGATTTTATCCCCAAAATCTCGGTTTTTAAGATTTTCAGGGGGAAGTTTATACCAAAGCCTGGGAAGGTCAGGTTTTGGGGTACTTTTGCAGGTCCCCACTTCTGCATTTATCGGGCCAGAGTGGGGAAGAAGCCTTGACAATGTTACTGACCCTCAGCTTACTGCACTTGGTACCAGGATGGGCCACCCCAGCTAAGCACGGTTCTAGGGGCTCTGCTGTGGGGGGCATAACCCCGTTGGATCCATTCTGCCCCCCGTGACCTCACACTGCTGCAGGTACCACCCCATCCCATCCCCCACCCCCAGTGACCTCACACTGCTGCAGGTACCACCCCATCCCATCCCCCACCCCCAGTGACCTCACACTGCTGCAGGTACCACCCCATCCCATCCCCCACCCCCAGTGACCTCACACTGCTGCAGGTACCGCCCCATCCCATCCCTCAGTCAGAGGTGAGATGGATCCTGCAGAGACTGATTCTTGGTTGTGTGAGGGGGGGAAGTGCCTATGGAGGGGTCTCAGAAGGGAGGGCCCAGGAACCTACTACTGCTCTGAGCCCCTCACTCTGTCTCTGAACCTCCCCTTCCTCCTGAACCCACCCTCCCATCCTATTCCCCATCCCCTGAGCCCCTCCTCTTCCCCATCCCTCACTCCAGACCCCACATTAACAGCCCTTCCTCATCACCCAACCCTGACTCCTACATCACCCACCCCCAGCGCCCTGCCCTGCCGCCTCTCCCTCCCATCATCTCCCCACACTCCCAGTCCCCTGCCCTGACTCCTGTCCCCCTCCCTCCTCCTCTCAACTTCCCACATGCCCAGGCCCCTGCTTCGACTTCTACACCTCTCCACCCAAAAACAGGTTCGGGGCTTGTGCAAAGCCAGGTTCACCAGTGTCACTTCCCCTCCTTTACGTTTTCTTTCCAACTTCCTGTGACGTGCCTCCCTCTCTACCCCAGCCTGCTAGTCTTCTCCCAGAAGTCTCTGGAGCAGTACGTTATGTGTTGAAAAGTAATGAATTGCCTGTCTGGCTAATGAGACCCTGCAGTGAGTTTGTTGGGGCTGATACCAGAGTGGTCCAGGATGGACAGGGAGTATCTTGCTGTCCCTGGAGCTGGGAGGGCAGCCCTGAGCAGGGAGTTCTTAAAAGCGGTACGTTGTCTGGGAGCCGAAGTCCCTGGAGTGTCTTCTCTGGAAAGGGAGTGCGGTCTAGTGGTTAGAGCAGGAGCAGGGAGAGATGGGGGAGAGCTGCAAGCCAGGACTCACAGGCTCTGTGCATCTCTTTGCCGTGTCATTTCCCCTCTGGTGTTGCACAGTCACAGCTCCCCTTCATGTGGTCATGGACCCCTGCGCTGTGAACACGTCTGATGGCTTCTCTACCCGGTGCCACCTGGCTCAGGTCTGGCCGCACCCTGAGAAACATCAAAGGGCCCCGTTCCCACCCGCCACCGAGATCAGCCACTGTCACCCCAGCACACAGACACCGGCCGGGAACTGAGCGGGACCAGGGCAAGGGCCAGGGCCAGGTGAGTTCGAGCCCCAGATGTGCCCAGCTGTGTCCCAGCACCCAGAGCAGCCCTGGATCTTCCTGAATACATCCCCACTGGGGTCTTCTCCATCCAGTGAGGCATCATTCGGCCGGCTGTGCAGGGACCCAGCTACTGGGCTGATGTGCAGCTTCACCGTCCCCCCAGCCCGTGTGGTTGGCTGTGGTTGGAAAGTGAGACACCTGAACCTGCAGTTAGATAACCGTGTGGGTGACGTTGAGGTTTCCTGCCCCCTTGAATCCCTCCCCCGCAAGCTCAATCTATAAAGCATGCAGGTTCACTGCAGAGGCACCATTCCTGCACTGACTGCAGACATGCAGGTTCCCATCTCGTTTCTGCTCCCCATGGCCTTTCTCCTGCCCCCTGGGACTAGGGCTGGTGAGTACAGCTGGGTTTGGGGGGCCCTGGGGCTTTGGGGTGAATGGGGGGCACTCAGGGATTTGGTTCTGTAGGGGAACGTCCATCCTGATGAACAAAGCGCTTGGGGTTCCCACCTGCTTTCTGCCTCCTAAATCCCAGCGGGAGGTGATTCTCAAAGACGACAAACAACTACAAAAGGGGGAACAGCCCCCCAAAGGAGCTTCCCCATGTCTCTCTACCCCAGACATTCACAGCATAAAGAGGGACATAAGAACAACCCAAGAAACTACAGCCCAGTTAGTTTAACTTCTGTGCCAGGGAAGATAATGGAGCAAATAATTGAGGAGTTCATCTGCAAACACTTGGAAAGTGGCAAGGTGATAGGGAAGCCAGCATGGATTTGTAAAGAACAAATCCCGTCAAACCAATCTGATAGCTTTCTTTGATAGGATAATGAGTCTTGTGGATAAGGGAGAAGCGGTGGATGTAGTATACCTAGACTTTAGTAAGGCATTTGATACGGTCTCGCATGATATTCTTATCAATAAACTAGGCAAATACAACCTGGATGGGGCTACTATAAGGTGGGTGCAGAACTGGCTGGATAACCGTACTCAGAGAGTAGTTATTAAAGGTTCTCAATCCTGCTGGAAAGGTCTAACAAGTGGGGTTTCGCAGGGGTCTGTTTTGGGACCGGCTCTGTTCAATATCTTCATCAACGATGAAGTTTGCAGATGATACCAACTGGGAGGGGTTGCAACTGCTCTGGAGGAGAGGGTCATAATTCAAAATGATCTGGACAAATTGGAGAAATGGTCTGAGGTAAACAGGATGAAGTTTAATAAGGAGAAATGCAAAGTGCTCCACTTAGGAAGGAACAATCAGTTTCACACACACAGAATGGGAAGCGACTGTCTGGGAAGGAGTACGGCAGAAAGGGATCTAGGGGTTATAGTGGACCACAAGCTAAATTTGAGTCAACAGTGTGACACTGTTGAAAGAAAAGCAAACATGATTCTGGGCTGCATTAACAGGTGTGTGGTGAGCAAGACACGAGAAGACATTCTTCTGCTCTACTCTGCGCTGGTTAGGCCTCAGTTGGAGGATTGTGTCCAATTCTGGGCACCGCATTTCAAGAAGGATGTGGAGAAATTGGTGAGGGTCCAGAGAAGAGCAATGAGAATGATTAAAGGTCTGGAGAACATGAGCTATGAGGGAAGGCTGAAAGAATTGGGTTTGTTTAGTTTAGAAAAGAGAAGATTGAGGGGGGACATGATAGCCATTTTCAGGTATCTAAAAGGGTGTCATAAGGAGGAGGGAGAAAACTTGTTCATCTTGACCTCTGAGGACAGGACAAGAAGCAATGGGCTTAAACTGCAGCTAGGGAGGTTTAGGTTGGACATTAGGAAAAAGTTCCTAACTGTCAGGGTGGTTAAACACTGGAATAAATTGCCCAGGGAGGTTGTGGAATCCCCATCTCTGGAGATATTTCAGAGTAGGTTAGAGAAATGTCTATCAGAGATGGTCTAGACAGTATTTGGTCCTGCCATGAGGGCAGGGGACTGGACTCGATGACTCTCGAGGTCCCTTCCAGTCCTAGTATTCTATGATTCTATGAACATCGGAGACACAAAGGCACCAGGAATGGACTGAGGGAGGGGTCCTTGAAGGCGGATTGAGCCGTAAAGTTTGCAGACACACGGTGGGAAAGAGCTCCCCAGGCCGAGTTTGAAAATGTAGCATCGTCCTGCAAAGGAAAACGAGAGAGGACGTGGGGGGTTAGTCTCACCACGCGACAATAGGGTTTAGTGTCAACCGCTGTGCGCAGAAGGAAGAAGCGGGGAAGGGCAAAACCGATTTCTTGGACACCAGGTCCATGGCTCCGTGCCCTGATGGTTCTGATCCTGCAGCTCCAATCCGGTGCCTGTCCCTCGAGACTTTCCTCCTGCCCCCCCCCGTGACCCCACGGACTCACCCGTGGGACAGTTCTCCCCACAGCGGGAGCTGGGCTGTGGGGCTGAGACCCAAGAAATACGGGATCAGATCCCACCTTGGCCAAAGGTGCTAGGGACATGGGTCTGGGGAGTTGATTTGCTCAGTGGGAGGAATTGTTGGTACGTATCCCTCTTGGCTCCCTGGCTCCCTGGAGCTGGGTCTGTGACCCCACGGACTCACCCGTGGGACAGTTCTCCCCACAGCGGGAGCTGGGCTGTGGGGCTGAGACCCAAGAAATACGGGATCAGATCCCACCTTGGCCAAAGGTGCTAGGGACATGGGTCTGGGGAGTTGATTTGCTCAGTGGGAGGAATTGTTGGTACGTATCCCTCTTGGCTCCCTGGCTCCCTGGAGCTGGGTCTGGGAGCAGGGCTCTGGGAAGAGGGGGGACGCAGACAGGGGGAGGAGACCAATGCTCAGACCTCAGCCTGTAGCAGGGTGGAAGTGACAGGGGGTGTTGGACGAGGCTGTTGGGTCCCCTGGGAGAGGGTGAGCATGACCCCAGACCAGAGAGGCAAAGGGACGTTTCCTATCCACCTGCTCTGCCCCCAGGGCACATTTTCGGGGGCCGGGAAGCTGAGCCCCACTCCAGACCCTACATGGCCTACCTCAAAAGGAAATTCGAAGGCGAGAACACTTTCTGCGGCGGGTTCCTGGTGGCGGAGAACTTTGTGCTGACGGCCGCTCACTGCCAGGCAGAGTAAGTGCCTCTGGGTGGTGACGTGGGGGTCAGGGGAGGGGCTGGGGGTGGCCAGGCTGGGGGAGTACAGCCCAGGGGTCTGACCTGCTCAGGGGGTGTCGGTGAGTCTCTAGGGGCCTTTCAACCCACAGCGCAGCCCCAGCACTGGGTAAATCAATGAGGCTGCAGGCAGAGCCCATCTGGGTCTGGCCCCTTGACCAGTGTAGGGCAGGGAGGGGTCCCAACCCCAGGCCAGCTCTGCAGGGCGCTGGGCTGGGGGCTGGCCATGGACCCCTGCCTGGATCAGGCTGGGAGGGCCCCTGGGGATGGAGAGAACCCAGGCTGGGACCCCAGCACCTCAGGGGAGAGGTTTTGTGCGGGGACCAGGGTTCACCACAGAGGAAGCCCCTCACGCCCGGGCCTACCCCTCCCCAAACAGCCAGACCCCTCTCAAGGGGGACTGGAGGCAGCTCGGCTACGGGGGAAGGGGCCCCATGTCGTAGCCCCCTGGCGCAGACAGATCTGCAGCTGGGTCAGAGCTGGCCCCATGTCACCGGGGATTGAGCCATGATTCAAGGTCCAGGGTGGCCCAACTGCCCTGTCGCGCTCTCCTGGGTAGGACCTGCGCGTGGCCACCCCACGCACCGTGTCTGTGCTCACCCCGACACCCACATGGCTGGCCCGGGGCTTTTGCAGCAACACCTTGGTTCTCCTGGGAGCCCACAACATCCGCCAGTCGGAAAAGAGTCAGCAGCTGATTCCTGTGCAGAGCTCGTACCCCCACGAGGACTACGACGAGGAATCCCTTAATAATGACATCATGCTGCTGCAGGTACACCCCCTGCCATTGCCCCGCCCCCAGTGACCTCACACTGCTGCAGGTACCGCCCCCACCCCATCCCCCAACCCCAGTGACCTCACACTGCTGCAGGTACCGCCCCCATCCCATCCCCCACCCCCAGTGACCTCACACTGCTGCAGGTACCCCCCCCGTCCCTTC